GACTACCTAAGTAAATATTAGTATAAAATTAAAGTTTCAGTTCAAATTTCTTGATTCCCTCCAACATCTTAGTAGCCTAAAAGTTTCCATGTACTTGTACAAACTAGAGTTGAATGACAGCGGTCAGCTGTGTAACAATTTGGAGTAGGGTTGCCACAAAAATATTATATGTATAACTGATATTGTTGCTCAAGTTCTAAAGTTTTTTTGGAGGGTTTTTTTTATAAAATATATTGTTGATAATAATCGATCTAATTGACTGCATAAGAGCTATTCGCTAATAAATTGGCATGTTTTACTAATATAACTAAAGTTGTAAAGTTATTTTCCATACAGAGTTAATCGTTATTATAAAACGACTACACTTCTTTCCGTTGTTCTTAAGTAAAGTTGTTCGGAACTGCCACTCAACAATCAATATTATACATTAAATAGCTCAAACAAGTTCAAGTAGGTTATTATTTATATCTATCTGCCACACATTTTTTTTAATTTAAAAATCATCACAAAATAATTTCTTAAAATGTTGCTATATTATATAAAATCACACAATTTTGTTGTAAACTGCATAAGTGTATCCAATTAAAATTATGATTTAAAAAGTTTTTACGACAACCCTACTTCGGCAACGTCACAAGTGGGTCAACGACGTCTCCGGCGCGGCGGATACCATCGATCCATACTACGCGCAAGCGCGATTCTTACAACTGCAAAAATAAACCATATTACCGAGAAATAAAACATAAATTCCATTAAAAGCATATTCAATTTTCCGTATACTGCAATTTGATTTGCAATATTAAGTTCTGTCTATTATGTACCATATTGTCAAAGATTAGGGTTTAATTTTGTACGTCGTTAATTGATTGGTTTGTTAAATTTGCAAACGTAAGTTAATATGAACTGTATTGTAGGGGATTAGAGCTTAAATTCGTCTAATAAATATTAATAACGTACGGAAATCCGAGCTCAAACTAATTACTGAAACTAAATAAATAATTAAGGTAATGAGATTTTAATGTATTAATTAAAATCGAATCAATAAAAAATATTTTTGATATAGAATATGAATAATTTCCAGTGACGCTCTTTCCGTCTGAACGTCGATAGGTCTTTGACCCGATAATTTTTTTTATTATACAAAAATAAATAGAGCATGAATTATTATATATTGACGATATTTACCTGATAAAAGTATTATTAATTTGGTAATAATAATAATTATTATTATTTTAAAAGAAACTCATTTCTTTCTTTCAAAAGAAGGTATTACTCTATCACAAAGGCCTTAACCAAGTGTGATAGAATTAAATATTAGTGTGACTGGAAGTATTAGAAATAGTTTTATTAAATCATTTAAAATTAATTTTCACTATACACAGTTACGGGCCAGGAAGGCTTTTTCGAACTATTCATAAAGTTCAGGCAATTTATTGGCCGGTCCCTGAGGGCTCTTATATATGATATTATAAACAATATCATATATTATTTGAAATATCTATAACAAAGTAATACTAAAAACGTATTAATTAGAGAAGTATAAAATAAAATAAAAGAAATGTGTGTGTGTGTGTGTGTTCTTAATAGATATTATATACATATGAGTTCAAATTAATATATCACATATACATATTTGCTTTCATATTACATGATGCAATATATCGATCAAAAAAGTAAATACTAGCTAGATATACAATTAGCGACAAAAAATCTCCTCACCGAATGAGCGCTCATTTGAACATTTGAGCGCGCTTTTAATCAATTTTTTGTGAAAACAACTTTAAGCATTGCTTTTAAGGTTCAATTTACATTGTTGTATATTTATTTCAACCAGACATGAGAGACTTTTGCATGGGATTGTGTATCCAGTACTTTATTGATCGATGGTGCAACATACATTATATTCACACGAGTCATTTCGTATGTGTCCGTGGTTTTATTTTCTATTCAATTCTTTGAATGTATTCAATTAAATGAACTGTAACGTGGGTATATTATATGTTTATAACCTATTTTGTAAATAAATATACTTATGTAAAGTATTATTACTTTCTTAGATTTACGCGAATATATGACATTTTAAATAAAACTATCTTTTCGGATTATTTGGCGGATTTATTTTGATTTTTTTGGTTCCCGACGTTTCGAATGCTATGACGTCTATAACTTCAGTCTTTCCCGTGAATATGATTGCTGTAAAGCATTCGAAACGTCGGGAACCAAAAATCAAAATCAATTCGAAATAAAATCCGAAAAGATAGTTTTATTTAAAATAAATATATACATATGTTAATTTATACATTATTGATATTCTATTTTTTGTATATGTGTTACAATCAGAAAATAGATCAAAACTTCTTTTTTTTATAATTCACCGTAACATTTTTTTTTATGATTTTTTATTATTATTTTTCTGTAAAATATATATATTAGAGCGTGCGCACGCGCAGTGTCCCGCAAAGGAAAATTTAGGACGAATATTAGTGACTCACCGTTCTTTAGGCGAAAATAAGCAGGTCGGACGATGGTTTTCAACACCTAGACAAGGTTAAAACACTTTGTTTACTATTTTTACTTTCGCCCTGATATTTTTCGAGCATGAATTCTAATTTCATTGAGAATAACAATTTATAAGTTTACACATACATATTTATCATAAGTGCATGTTAAAATATACGTGCTTCTAAATCTCATAGCTCAATGGAACGGCATTTTAACGACTTGATGAAAACTAGGCATGTTGCCTACATCTTTACATGCTGTGCTTTTATTATAAACTAGCGGCTCATCCTGACTTCACTCGTGTTCGTCCCTAGGTTGATTCCCCATACAAACTTTCATCCCCATTTTCACCCCTTTAAGGGATGATTTCCGGGATACATAGGTTTCCTATGTCCTTCCCAGTGTCTGAAACTATCTTCTTACCAAATTTCATCTAAATCGGTTTTAACCCCTACAATGTCACAAACTCACAAACCCTCAAACTCACAAACTTTACCTCTTTATAATAATAGTATAGACTGCACTAACTTATACCTAAGTATGAAACCTAATCTGTTGGAAGACATTTAAAACACTGCACTCGTCTGCGTATGATAAATTTACATATACAATAATTTAGTAGGTACTCGAGAACCCCTCCAATATCCGCTAATTTGATTTGGTTAGAAGAGTGGGATGATCTATACTGTGTTTTTGTTTTAGTTCAATAGACATAGGTGCGTGTTGAATATTTTTATTTTTGTATTAATTTTTTGACAGACCGACAGTGGTAGCTCAGTGGTAATACGCTCGCTTAGGAAACATAGTGAAGCGGATTCAAATCCCGGGTGTCGCACCTCTGATATTTTCATGTGCGAATCATTTTAATCATGATTCACACATGAAAATATCAGAGGTGCGAGCGAATGAAACATCGTGAGAAGACCTGCATGTCTGAGAGAACCTAGCAAGTTTTCGTAAGACATGTGTCCACCCGCACTTAGCCGATGTGGACTTAGCTTGATCCCCCTCTTCTTGAAGGGAAACCCGTGCCCAGCAGTGGAACATTAAAAGGCCTTTATTACAAGTTCTAAAAATACTTTATCTTAGAAGATATAATAGATGTAGAAACTTAAGTATACTTCTTCGGCGGAACAATTTGGTATTCAATGAATGTAAATAAGCTTCTGCAGCGTCTTGCAACATTCGAATGCATTCAAAGCTAACTTTGTCGCTGTAGTAAAAGTACGTGTACCGCGTTTTAATATGACATTTTTTGACCGGTTTTTTTTTGTTTTAAGTACCTATTGCCAAGCTTTAGTGTTATCAGTACAAAAAAATATTATGGCCGAATTTCGACCACATATTATATAATTTAATCATTTTTTTTACTAAATTTATAATGTGTCGATATATATTTTTTTTAAATATATATTTATTAATGTTTAACGATTCCAAATTATTTAATAACTTTAATGTGTTTTTCTTTTAATTGTGATATCTTATAGTTAATCATGTTATAATACTTTTGTTTATATTTTAGTTTATTGATGTTGTTTTCTTATTAAATTTGAGAAATAAAATTAAAAATCCTTTAGGAATATGTTACATTGTGTTTTTAATCTATAGGACATATAATAAAACTGTAACTGAGCCGAATCTGTACATTAATTATTTTTTGGAAAGTCTTATTGAAATAGACATTATCATCGATATAGAGGCCGAATCTATAGTGTTTAGAATTTTTGCCTGTCTGTCTGTCTATGACCGCATCGCGAGAAAACCACTGGACAGAACTAAAACTAAAACGTAACTAAGGACGAACCCGAGCGGAGCGAGGTTGAGTCGCTAGTTTAAAAAAAAAGTAACAATGTAATTATCACTAGTGGATCTAAATAAATAAATAAATAAATAAATAAATAATAAAAACACCACTATAAATAAAATAACTAACTATCGATTCATGTCTCGAACGGTGTAGTCAGAACTTTTATACATTTTAAACTCTATCTATACCGAGTTTTCTTTGTGGCTCTGTGATCTAACATTAATGAAATCTCATTTATCAGAGAGCATATGACGTCATCGGGTGAACGTCGCTGTAAACATGCGTATTACGTACGTATACACTATACCCTTACTCCCACGCATTTCCTACTACGACAACTTTATATAAGACTTTATAAATAAACAAAGCTTAAAATGAGCTTTACCAAACCTTTACCAAACTTATATTTAAAAAACTCATATGTATTTTTTGGTATATATGACAAAATTTTACTAATGTTCGTGTTAAAGTTTTATGCTACTCCAATGTGGAAAAAATCCTGGAAAAGCTACACGACATGCATAGTTAAGTCATAGCGCTAGTTACAAATTGTTCCGCCTAGACAAATCGATTGCAAAAGTATCGATTTCAATAAAACGCTGGCCAATGAAAGTTTTACTACTGAAAACGCAAACACGCCGAGTCTACGTCAAACGAAAATGTCCTGAAAAATTGTTATATTTACGGTGTAATGCAACTGCTGCGCGCGCACTCATTCACCATGGGGGGTGAGGGGGCACACGCAGGTTGCAGAGGGCAGGGGGGAAGGGGGAAGGGGGGAGAGTTGAAGGGAACATCAAAGCGGGCTCCGGCTCGGATCTCGTCGGGTGTGTTGCGGCCTGCACGACGGCCGATGCTCGGTCACGACGGCAGATCACGACGATATACCACTGGTGGCCCAGAGTGGCCTACCATTACCACTGCCACCATGCCGTAACATGATGGGCTACAACAAGTTGTTTACGCAGGTTTGCCTCAGTGCTGTGAATTGTGCGAAATGAGACTGATATGGAAGTTTCTGAAGAACCTACGTAGTCTGGGTAAAGGGATCGCGTGTGGATCGCTTGAGTGGATATTGTCGATTATATTTTAGCTTAATTACACGTTATTACAGGTATTTACACGTATTTATGTATATATAATATCTAGCTAGATACAGCTAGTTAGCAGGATGTTTGTGTACGCATAGTAGGTAACTACCAACACTTTTAGTCGTTTAGTATTAACAATATATGGCATATACCATTGTACTTGTCATTATTATTTATGAATGGATAATAAATTAGTATATTATATAGATCATGTGCAAGATAATAAAAATGCAACTCTGCTTGCCGTAAAGAACAAAGCTAGATAGAACTAGCATTTTCTTATATTAAAGTAAATTAGAATTTGCAGTGATATATTTCACTGTATATTTAACTATGTATTTTGATATTAAATATTTATTTTATTAATGATGGGTTAAGGCTGTTTACATATTATGTTGATGGCTTTTGTTAATAGAAATAATCTATATATATATATATATATATATATATATATATATATATATATATATATATAAATGTGTTGCTGTTCGTAAGTCTCACTAAAACTCAAAGACTGTTGGACTGATTTGAATCATCTTTTTTCGTTTTGTTGGGGGTGTGTCAGGATTGGTTTAAGTATAAAAAATATGGAAAAACCGATTCAATCGACCAATTCAGAACTGTCTAATTTATTTTGTACCTATGTATATATAATATATAATTTTTCCATACTAACCGTTAAAACGTACCTAGGGACGAACCCGAGCGAAGCGAGGGTGAGCCGCTAGTGGTAAATAAAAATCAAGTAATTTAACCAAATTACGAGATAGGTAGGAATGATCCTATTAATATAATATTTTTTTTACTCTACCTTATACTATTTTTTAAGTGTTGTAAACGATATGCCTGCCTGAAATAGGTAGTTAACACTCACACTTCACTCTGCCATTTAAAAGCTTGTTTTTCATAGTATACCTATATCAATTAAATCTGTTAAATATAAAACTGGTAAGCTGTTTCCGCTATGTATAAAACTATGATATAATAAAGTAAAATATTATATATAAAAAAATTTACACTTGTTGAATTTAACAATAAGTGTGGGAAAATTCATAAACTTACTGACTGACAAAAAGAAAGTGGAAAACAAAGTCAAATTTTGACCAATATTTCTCTCCTTATTAGAGGATACCAGAAAGAGTAAATCCTGTCAAAAAATTATAGGTAGTAGGGGCGACCCGCCCTCGCTTCTTTCGAACTATATCTGTTTAGTGTATACTGTATGATAATATAATCTATACTTAATATTATAAACAGGAAAGATTTTTTGTTTGTCTGTATAGAATAAGCCCCGAAACTGCTGGACCGATTTAGATGAAATTTGGTAACAAGATAGTTTGAGACCCTGGAAGGACGTAGGATAGTTTATATTCTAGAAATCATCCTTTATGGGGTTGAAAATAGTGTTGAAAGTTTGTATGGGGAATCAACGAAGGGACGAACCCGAGCGTAGCGAGGGTGAGTCGCTAGTAGTATATCATTTGGGATCTGCTTCAAATACTATATAGATAAAAAAGGATCCTATACTTATATAATTCATAAACCGACCTATTTACTAACTTTTGCCTTTCATAGTTTATTTACGTATGTATATATTTAATTTCATACATATTAGGTCTAGGTATATTTTGTCCGATTATATTTTGCTGCATGACTGACCAATAATTATAGACTAACGCATTCAAGTAAACAAACAAATAAGCAAAAGACAAAAGTCTAAAGAAAAGTACCTTTTTTGCGCCAGGGACTTTCGCAGGCGTATACAGGATAATCCACCAAACTTTCATCATAATCGGATCAATCGTTTAGAAACGCAAGAGGACAAACATACGAACATTCCTTTTTATTTATATACTATCATTGCCCGCGGCTCCACTCGCGTTCAGATAACCAAAAAGCAAATTCTTAGGTTTTACATATTATTATTATTATACTCTTACATTGCAGTTTTTGTATTTTTTCTCAGAAATGAGACATTTTCTCGCGGTAAAAAGTATCCTATATGTTGACCCGGATAACCAGCTATCATCATACCAAATTTCATCATAATCCCTGCGGTGGTTTTTCTGTGATGCGGTAACAGACAGACAAAAATTGTAAAAACTAAAGTTTCGGCCTCTGTATCGATAATAATGTCTATTTCAATAAAATTTTCCAAATAATAATATTTAATGTACAGATTCGGCTTAGTTACAATTTTATTATACATATGCATAACAGTATAGATATGTATATTGTATATAGGTTAAAGATTTTAGGTTCGTAGAAGAAGAACATACAAACATAAACACGTTTATAATATTAGAACAGTTTTCAATTATACAAGTTTAAACAAATCTAACGCGCTCGTATATTATCTTCCAAGTCTGGTATATATCAGCAATGTACGCCGCGCTTTAATTACCGCTGTCAAATGGCAGATAACGATGCACTATTAAGTTAAACGCTTTGCGTGTTTATCATGGGTGGGTGGGTAATGGTTTTTTTAAAGTCTTCTAAAATAGGTACTATACTAGCAATACCCATGGCTTCGCCCGCGTTCAAACTTCCGGTTGCTACCAAATTTGACAGGTACACCCGCTGGGCTAATCTGAAGATGGATCGATTTCATCAAAATCCCTCCAGTCATTTTAGAGTAAATAGAAAACATACATACATACATCGATGTTTATATATATACAGAGATATTTTTTGTTTACTGTACATACTTAGTACAAATATCTACATAAGCTATATATGAAATCACAGTCATGCACTTAATGTTTATTTATAAATGAAGATTTCATATTTAATTCAGTTCCATATAAAAAGGCAAAGACAAAACAGACCATCACCTTTTTTCTCCTCTGTTTGTCAAACTAATTTTTAACCCCCGACCCAAAGAGGGGTGTCATAAGTTTGACGTCGATGTCTGTCTGTGCGTGTGTGTGTGTCTGTCTGTGGCATCGTATCTCATACGGATAGACCGATTTCGATGCGGTTTTTTTCATTTGAAAGCCAGTTTCCTTGCGGTGGTTCTTAGCTATGTTTGGTTAATATCGGTCCAGCAGTGTAAGAGTATCAGCTCTTTCCCAAAATGATGTAAGGCATTTTGGCGTATGATTACTCGATTAAGTGCTTCACGCGTGCCAGTGTAATCGTTAAATGACAATTAATTTGCATAGGGGGTATTTTTTTAATTTTTAGTTTTTCTGTTTAGTGGCTTAGGAGCTTTAAAGCGTTATCCATAAAAAAATGTTTGAATGACGAACACTAGTATAATTAAAACTGAAAGACGAAATTAAGATTTCAAACCTTAAATAAAAGCTTCTACTGATAGTCCGGTCAAAATAGACATTCAAGGTTACATTAATTCGCACCCAGCTAAAAATTGGCATGAATGTTGGGGGCCCTAGTACACACAATTTGTCAATTATCCACATCAATCCAACGTGTGCAAAAAAATTTAATCAAGATCAAACGTTGCAAAAATCGTTTTTTTGAGTTTTCCAGCTAAACGGTAAGTTTTATTATGAAAATAGGTGAGACAAAAATTATTCATCATGCAATTATCTGTAAAAATTGATTATACACTTTTTTCCTAAGAATCACAATTTCGGAGATATAGCGATGCAAAATGTTGAAAAAGTTGTGTTACTCATAATATGCACACGTTTCCGCGCCACCCGTCAGGTAGTGTACATGGCGCGTTTTTTTTCACGTGGTTTCCCCAGTAGGCCTACTCCACGATCTATTGTGGTTCTGTTGAGTTAAAAGCTATTGTATTAAATTGTAGAAAATTATTTGTCTGATTGATACTCTTCTAATGGAACATAATCCATACTGTCTTGTTCTTCTTCTTCTTCCTGCTGGGTACAAATAAATTGTTCAAAGAGCGATGCATCAGATGTCTCCTCGCATATATCGTAAGAATCCTCTTCTACTGGTGATTGAACATTGGAGCACGATTGGCCTCAACAACAACTGATACATGCTAATGAACAAAACAACCCAACTTTTTTACAGCCGCATTAAGCATTACACCCCGTTTTGCAATTGCAAAAAATTGAATTGAGGAGTTTTTCTGGTGCAGGAGGGAGTAAAGTCTTAACTGGTTCCAATATATTGTCAATTAACTTCCAACCCCAGTCTTCTGGGTTTAGTTTATTACCGAGCCATACTTGAACTTGATAATATACCCGAAATAGATGTTGCTGAGCAGAAGCAGAGGTTGGAGGAAGACAAGCTAGTTTTACTTGTTTTTTTTATGCGTATTTTTAGCAAAACATAAGTATCGAAATTTTAATTTTTAATTTTTGTTAACCTAACTTGTACATTTAAAAAAATATCAACAATTCAAACTTTGACGCGCTCTCCTGTAAAGTTGCCGATTTTCACCTCCGACAATGTTAATAGGGATAGGCGAATTGTATAGTATGTATACGCCACGAAAACTAATATTTTTACTTGTATTAACGTTCTGTAACGTTTAAAACGATAATTGACATACATATTATGAGTAACACAACTTTTTCAACATTTTGCATCGCTATATCTCCGAAATGGTGATTCTTAGGAAAAAAAGTGTATAATCAATTTTTATAGATAATTGCATGATGAATAATTTTTGTCTCACCTATTTTCATAATAAAACTTACCGTTTAGCTGGAAAACTCAAAAAACCGATTTTTGCAACGTTTGACCTTGATAAAATTTTTTTGCACACGTTGGATTGATGTGGATAATTGACAAATTGTGTGTACTAGGGCCCCCAACATTCATGCCAGTTTTTAGCTGGGTGCGAATTAATGTAGCTTTACCCCTATTTATGGAGCTAATTTGACCGGACTATGATGGCTTGCGT